GTATCACTTAGTCTTTATGACATACTGCTGTACATATTGACTGCTTTTGTTGTTAAATCATTCCCCATTAGAGATTTTTGTTTTAGCGGCACTGGCACAAACTATTCCTACTTAAGATAAATTGATTTTCTCTTAAACAAGAACGTGAAATCTATTACTTATTTTCAATTGAATTCAAGAGATATTTTTTCTTTGCTGGTGCTCGTGAGTATGCCGTACACTGAGTAAATMAATCAATCAATCAATAGGTTTATGTTCGGCACATACGGTATAATGGTTCAATCAGTGCCCGGGGAATATGATATGTAAATGCACACAAACTATACGTCGAGCATATATGGAATATTTTATTGTTGATTTATGTTGACACATACAATAATTCATGCTGCTAAATCACAATCAGTAAATTGAGTACTTGTGCTATGAAGGCCCGTTTACACTTGCAACTTTTGCAGCGCGATTGTCGCGCGACTATCGCCTTAGKTTCGAACATGCTTGAAATTTAGCTGCAACACGCAGCGATTTTTGATCGCCGCGACAATCGCAGGGCTGTTTACACATACGATTTGAACTGCGAGAGAACAAAGTGGCATTGTCGCGCGACAGTCGCACTGCAAAAATTGCAAGTGTAAACGGGCCTTAAATATTGCCAGTTTTGCGAGCATCAGCATTCTTTGATTCACTTGTTACGAAGCACTTAGTTAGTATCAATTTTAGGACCTTGACTTTTAGAAAAGTAAATAAACTCAAGTAGATTAAAGAAGGCCAACGCAAGGCATGTGTTGACACGTTGATTACGAAGATCGGGAGCGACCAGAAAACATACAAGGCTCACGTGTCCACACATGCCCAGACGAGCAAACAYCACAATTTTATCTAAAAGAGTGTAAACACGTGACATGTAGAAATAACCTTATTGGAAGATAAATTCGTATATATTCAGTGCTATATGCGGTGCCATCAGCTCGGGACAAGCCTTTGACAAGGTGTCTAAAACCAGCCAAAARTAAACCATTTCCAGAGCAGCCATAACAATAAAAGAACTAAAGAACAGAACTATCAAGTCCAAGAAAGTGACTAACACACTTACGATAACGTTTACATATGCATATATGCTATATAATTATATAATAATTAGCCAAAACGTTCAGTCTCCTTCTAGGGTTTGCTCCCATTTTTCCATCGCTTTAGTATGGGCTTTTGCTGCTTCTTGTACTGAGGCCAACAGTTCCGGAAGTGCGTCCTCGATCTTTTTTTTCTTGCTGGAAGAAAGAGAGCAATAAAATACAAGTATTATATTATTAAGTATTATTATTATTATTATACAAGTAATATGTAGATATCAATATCATAGGGAATATTCTTCGTGAATGATACAGAATGCATGATAAACGGATACGACTGTACTATTTTACCTTTTACTACCTCTTTCTTTTCCACTCTCTACTTCGTCTTCGCGCCTTTTCTCGGCCTTTTTAGCCTCCTTCATAAAGGAGTTCAAAGCGCCTCTTGAACTCGGCGAGCTGGGTGGTAGATACCTCGCTCTTTTCTTGGCTTCTTCTTTATAGCCTAGTTCGTCAAGCTCGTCGTACCCTAGTTCTTCTGATTGTTCGCTTTCAAATTCATCCTCTGAAGGAGAGTGGTATTCGTCCTCGAGATAAGTCGCCTTTGGGGTCAAATTTCCTCTATTAGTGCTAGAACTAGGAATTAACAAGATACAGTACGAATTATTACAACTATGAACCACTATTAGTACATAGCTTTGCTGCCAGTGTGGATGTCATTATTAATAATTCTGGATGGTATTTCAGTCAGCACCATGATATAAAATATTTAATTTTATACTATTTTGATTACCTTGAAGCATGTAAAATTTTCGATGCAACTCTCTTTCTAACACGTTCTTCTGCAGCTTTTGCATAAGCTGCCGAGTGCTCACTCCTTCGGTAATACTCTTGCGCATTCTGTGGTAGAATATCCACATGCTTTGTTATAAATTTCACCATAGATTTATAATCACCTTTGTGGTGACTATATGCAGCTTCTATCACCGCGTCTTCCCCTTGACTAAAATTTATTCGGCTTTTTTTAGCCCTCTTTTGACTGTTTTTGACAGCTTTTGAGGTCTCTAGATCTGTGGTCGGTGGTGAAATAGTGCCTGTCATTGCTGCCTTCAAGAATATGTTTTCCAGATTCATCGCGAATGTAAGCTGAATACAGTACAGAACATGATMTTTTTGCATGGATTCTATTTATATGTCTGCAATTTGTATAGTTGACAAGAGACCACTAGTGTCACAATGGGACTCGTGATAAGCAGGTACGTTTTTGCACATTGCTATACCACTGTTTTTGC